CAATTCCTATCTGTAATAAGTAGTCTCTCTCTCTCTCTCCCTCTCTGTTTGCTCCTTGGTTCCTTTCTTCAATTATTTCCGATTATTACCAGGACAGGGGGGGGGGGGTGAGGGACTGTGGGGTTAGTTCCCCCTCAAAATCCATGTTAATTGCTATTTTGCTCCCATTTGGCTTTAAAAAATCCTTGCAAGAAAACTAACAACCTGGGGGTCAGATTTTCCTGATTTTCCATTCATTCTACAGTGGCAGAAGTGGCAGCAGTGGCAGCAGTGGCAGAAGTGGCAGCAATAGAGTAGCAGCCAGTGGCAACAATCCCCACTCTTGGGGAATATCCTTGTTGTTGTCCTAATATACTTTCCTTTTGCTTTTACTTGGGAGCTCAGAGCTCAGAGACTTTTCTGTGGAAAAGGAAAACTGAAAGAGAATCAAGAGAGAGTGGAGTGGAGTGGAGAGAGGGGAGAGTGGAGAGTGTGGGAGGAGAAATTACAGTGACGACCCAGTAAAGTAAGTTCCAAAGATAAACTGCAACCGAAGGACGTTGACTGAATGATAAATTACACTTGACAATGGGACACAGCCCACGCTGCCCCCCACACACACACACAGCCAGGAGCCGGGAGATGTGTGTGTGTGTGGGTGTCTCCTTCTGGGGGTCTGTGCCGGAGTGTCCTGTCCAGGACCTGGTTTTTTTTCCTCCCCTGCTGTTTCTGTTTCTGCTGCCTTTTCTTTTGCTCGTTTGTCATAAGTTTACTTTTAATATAAAAGTTTTCTCGCTTTGGTTGAATGTTGAAAAGTGATCATCATGATAATTACACGGCCATCGCGATGGGGGGAGGTGCTAAGTCACAGTGGAATAAGAGCAATAGAAAAAAACTAGAAGAGAAATTATAGAAAAATATATATTTCCTGTGGTTTCTTCTCGAAAACGAGATTTTAAATATACAAAATTCTGTAAAAAATATATACATTTTTTTTTGATTAAAACTGAATTTAGAACTGAATTTATTTCAGTTTTTGTTTTTGTTGTTGTTTGCTGCTTGTTTTTGCTCTGTAACCACTGTGGTTGCAAGCTGCGTCCATCAAGGGGGCAGCGCCACCACCTCCCTGAAGATTTATGTGCTCATGTGGTCAGAGATAAGGGGAAGGCGGGCCCCCCACCCCCCTGCTCCCCACTGCTCAGTGTCTTGAGTGCCAGAAGCTCGGGAGTGTGTTTGTCAGCCGTGAGGGGGCTACGGATGCGGTGTGACACGGTGGGGGGTGCGAGATGAATGGGTGGGGTAATTATGATGGTTTCTTGGTGGGGGGGGGGGGGTAGTGGAGTGGAGTGGTGGAGAGTGGCAGCTGCTGTTGCTGTTGCTGTTGCGCCCCCCATCCTGTATCCTCTGTCACGTCTAAAGAAGCGGTAGCCCAGTTTCACTCATTAAGGATATCCGTGCAGGAAAACAATGCCAAACACTCACACCAATGCACACACACACACACACAGAAAGCGTTACAGTATAACCACAGAGGGAGACAGAGCAAACACACAGAATCTCCCTCTCTCTCTCTCCTTCGCTCGTAATGCATTTAGTGGCTGCGGTTTTTGAGCTCTCTCAAGCTCTCAAGCTTTCATTGTTTGCTCTTTGGCCTCCGCATCCGTCGCCGCCTCCCCCGCAAACGAAACAATACAAATTTTATTTTGATGCCACGCCCGCTCTGGCACAGCAGGCAAAAAGAGGCGGAAGCGGAAGGCTGCGAAAGAGACGACTGCGACGCGACGGCCCAGAACTTGAGCAGTACGCGGAAGTTCCGGCCAGAGCCCCCCCCCCCCCCCCCCCCCCCCCCCCCCCGTCTTTCATGTATTTTCCTTTTTTTGGGACAACTTTTTTGAAAAAGTTCTGGGTTTGGGTTTTTGGGTTTGGCGTTTTGAAGGCGTGACTGGAACGGGGCTTGTATAACCCAACAAAAGTGTTAATTCATTTGCTCTCTGGCATAATTTTATTCATTCGAGTTTTGCTGTTGAATTAAAAGTTTTACCAGCCAGCAACTGGCACAACAAATTATAAGAAAATGTCGGAGATTTCAGAGTCAGCGTCGGAGCATATAAAAGTAAACAGATGTGCCAGGCTGTCATTCGAGAAGATCCTCTCTCTGTAGCGATGTTTTACTCATATTTGCGCTCAGGTGCGAGCGAGCGAAGAGAGCGGATGCGACCAAAGCGCAGCAAGCGAGCCGAAAACGCGAAGCCAAAAGATCGAAGCTGAAAGCGGGCAGCCGAAAGCGCGGAGCCGAAAACGGGCAGCCGAAAGCGCGGAGCTGAAAGAGCGAAGAGGGTAAGGTCATGATGATGTAGCGAAGAGAAAAGCTGGACCATGATGAAATTATACATGTTGGTCGGTCCGCTAAAGTGCGCTTCGACGACATGTTTGATGAGGGAGAGAGAGAGAGAGAGAAGAACGAAGTTTGCTTTTGTACTGCGGACCACCTTTTATAATTTCATCAGGAACACACAGAGCGAAGAGAGTGAGTCGAAAGAGCGCAGCGAGTGATCCGATAAAGCGATTCGAGTGAGTCGAAGGAGCGAAGAGAGTGAGCCGGCGGCTGGACCACGAACAAAGCGCGTTCGCAAGGCCCTGCCTGCCTCTAGTACAGGAAAAAAAACCATCTCAGTGACTTATTTTCCATCAAGGAATCCTAATTGAAAGCTCTAGAGCCTCCGTCATTGAATTAACTTTCCAGTGGCTCAGCAGTGCCTCATTTCCTTTTGTTTTTCTTGATAATTGCTTTGGTGACTTTGAAAATCAAATCAAAAGTCCATTTGAATGTTCAATACTTCACTCAAAATGATCAATGAGCAAATCACTTAGCATAACTCGAAGGAGAGACAGGGAGATAGACAGAGGGGAAATGCAAAATGTTTTTCCACTGTGGAGCAGAGCTTTTTCCAACTTGGAGTGTGATTGATGGCGAGGGAAACGTAATTGAAATCCCCGCCAGAGGAGCAGCAGAACTTCTCTCCGAGAGAGAGACAGTGACAAAAAGGGAAAGTTTTCACTTTACTTTTCCCCCAATGCCAGGGCGGGACCAGCAGACCAGACAGAGGCCAGACAGAGCTTGTCATTGTGCAGCCACAAGATGCATATCTTTGCATCTCCAGATGGGCGGAAAATCATAAACAAAAAGGGGATACCAGGGGGATGCCAAGGGGATTCCAAGGGGATGCCAGGGGGGTGATTGCAAATGCGAAATCAATCTCTGGTGTTGGCATTAAAAATGCAACAACGTGCGGGGCAACAATGAAAGCGAAATCCAGACGGAGACAAATCATAAAAAAAGAAAGCAAATTGCCATTGCCTTTGCCTTTGCCTTTGCCAGACATAAAATACATCGAGATACAGCATCTGGGGGTTGCCTGCCTGCCGCCTGCCTGCCTGCCACTTAGCTGCAACAAATCGTCAAATAAGTGGAAAATATTGCAGGCCACAAATTCTGGGGCCATTCTTATCTTAAACTCTGCACAAGGCGATGCCGATGCCGATGCCAAAGACAGAAGGAAAGCAATTCCGATGACCTCTTTAAATATTAATACGCGTGCCGTGATTGCACTGGGAATTGTGATTGACTTTTTAGACCTGGCCGAAACCACCCCTGAGGGGTGAGCGGCAAACATGCACTTGCCCTTCCAGCTTCCAGCGCCTTCCTTGTTCAGATCCTTGACATTTGAGCTGCCACCCCGTGGCAGTTAAATGCACAGCACCCCCGCACCCCCACCCCCATCCCCACAAGGCAAAGAGACAGAGACTCCACTCAGGCGATGTCCCTGGAGATATTCCCTGTAGCCGCCCAAGGAGCAAAACTTTGCGCTTGACAATGTCTGCGGCAGAGAGGGGGCGGGGGGGCTGGCGGATGGTGGCAAAGTTTTTCCTATTGATTGGGGGTCTAGCCATCCCATTAAAGGCCTGGCCAACACGCCAGCTCCAGTGCTCATTGCACATGCAATGCCCTGCAATGTCTACCTGTTGGCCACGTTCTCGCCACGATTTTGTCAATTAAGCCAATGAAGTGCCTGCCACTTGCCACTTGCCACAGAAACACACACCGAAAAAAAAACCCCAACAAAACACGAGTCCAACCAATTAAATGCAAATTTATTGAAATCAATGCCAAATTAGTTGCCAATAAATAAATTGCCCAATAAATTGTGTCGTTTACACATGCAATTGTGGCCGCAGCTGAAATCACACAAAAAATAACCCCCGATGCGAAATTTGTAGTCGGTGAATGTGTGGAGAAAGTCGTTAAAGTAAAAGTAATTAAAAGTTAGTGGCGGAATGCGCTGCGGTGGGTAGGGGTATGCATAAAGCAACTATTTTGTATTTTTATTGTATTTTTATTTATATTCTGCGCTTAAAACTTTGGTTTGCATTTAATGGGGAATGATTGTTATTCCAAAAAGGGAAATACATATTGATATTTCCGCTCTAGCGTTACGGTCTAGCGTTAAAGAATAGCCTAGATTGGGGGAAATTTTCTGGGAGATTTTTTAGATACCTCAATATGTTAGAGAAAGTTTGAGGAATAATTTTTAGCAAGAATCATTTATCTACTGGGAAATAATAGTTCAAGAAAACATGACTCTGAAAACTGGACTATAAAAACATGACTGCAAAAATACTTGAGACTTCGGCTGTAGCAGTGTATCTCTCGATTATAGCGACTAAATCATCTCATTTGTCCGTCACGGTCAGTCTGATCTCAGTCTTCCTGGTTTTCATCTTTAGCACTCGCCAGACCTCTTCTTCATACTTCGAAAAACGCTCTACCACTACCAGATCGACTGCACGATTTGCTCTACATCACAACCTCTTGAAACTATGTCCACTGTTCTCTGTTTTGCTGGCCCAAGCCGCCACGAGGCGTCTCCTGGTCACTCCTGAATCTCCGCTTCCCGACGCGTAACGAGTTAATGAAATTCTATGGCAATCGGTTTAAATTTAGAGACAAAAATACACGGAAATGTGTTCTAATAGACTTTTAATGTTCTTTGTTCTCTCGCCCTGATGGACATTTCCGCTGAAATGCCCAATGGCTTGAAAAGATTTCTGGGGGGAATGTCGAGATCCAGATCTCATTAGAGGTGTAACGTCGTAGTGCTGCCATCCCATCAGAGGGTGCTGCGCGGATGGATCATGTGTTAGAGGGACTTATTGGACTTATGGCAGGTGTAATATCGCTAGAAGGGCCCACCTCCTCCCAAGATGAAAGCACACTCCGTTTGTATTGTGGTTAAGGCCAATGTAACACTCTCGGAAGATCAGGATGAAGGGGACGAACGATCCTACAGCCTTCTAACGATCATCAGGGCAAATAAAACAACAACCGTGTGGAGCTGAGGGTTTTCTTCAACTGAAGGAAGTTTGGGATCGTTTTCGAGTGGGTTTCTCGCAAAGCAAATCGATTTCAAGGACAAGGCACGTTAGAAGCGTGGCATAGAGTATTATAGGAATGCCACTTCCGTATTGGATTGGATCCGCTACCTTTACGGAGTCTCTCTCTCTCGTTGGACCTTCGAGTGTTTCTAAAGCGATGAGGGAAACCAATTGGAAAGAAAGAGGACAGCGATTCCTCCCAGAGACTTCTTTCATTCATTCAGGGACAGAATTTAGACAAGGTCGAAGACTTCGAGTGCTTCCTTCTACCACAGATTGTAGAGCCCTTAGATAACACAGTGCTTAAAAAAGAGCCCTAAAGGTTCCCAGTCTTCGACCTTTCCGAGAAAGATCTCTACTAATTCTCTCCTTATCTGAGATGTGGTTGAGGCCAAAGCCAGATCCCAGCTCTTGTTTTTCTTAAACGCACTAAAGATCCCCCACAAAATCTCTCATATTATTCGAGGCCTAAGCTCTGTTGGCTTATAAACCGATTTAATGGACTGTGGACGGTCTTAAACCTATCAGAAGCACACACACACCCGCATACATATCTCCTGAAATGTTGCAGAATATTTGGGATTTATTGTAGCTCCTTTACTGGAATGTTTTTGCATATTCCATTAGTCCGAGGGTTGGCCGCCCTGCCCCTGGTATTCGGGGTCTAGAAGTGCTGGTCCTTCAAGTGGAGGGGCGGGGAGGGGAGTGGAGTGGAGGTGGATAGCCAGTTTTATGCCCACTTAATAGTTTTGTTTTTGTGTGTGTCTGCGAGTATCTGTGTGCCGTGTGGGGGCAAGGGGCCGGGCAAATGACTAACCAGAAATGTGAAGACGGCCTTCGGTAGACGAAGGCCTTCCCTGGGTTCCCTGTGTGCCAAGTGTCTGATAATTTATGGGTCCGAGCGTCAAATGGCAGACGGCTACGCGGCGGCTACTTGACAAGCCCCCAGCACACACACACACGCACACGAAGGACACAAATGCCACTTGAAATACTATAAATGTGTGCGTGTGTGTGTGGGTATGTGTTTAGGTTTAAATTATATTAAACTGCCACAGCGTGGCATGTGTCCCATTTCGAATGCTACCCCCAGGAAGCACCTCAGATGGCGATTGGAAGGGGGGGCAGTGGCAGTGGGAGAATGTCCCCCCTCCACCCACTGCCACTGCGGTTATCTGTCCAGAAATTGTTTTCATAATGTTACCTCATGGAACACACACACAGGGGGCACACAGGGGGCACACAGGGGGGCACACAGATATAGATGCGAGATTGGAGGCCAGACAATGGGACATTTATCATGGGGCTCCCGCTCTAAGCCCCCCGCCGCCGCGTTCGGGCTACCAGGATTTCCATTTAGTGCAAATGCAAATGTCAAAAGTTGAAGCCCAAAGTTTTCAACACTTCCACCCCCCCACCCTCTGCACCACCCCCCCCACACTTTCGGAAGAAACGGAGGATCTAAGGATCCCTTCAGTCTAATTTAAATTGGTTTGTTTTTGTCGTCTGTTGGCATTGCGCTTTTTGCCCTGCACTTTGGGTCCGTCCCCCAACAATTACGACTGTCCCACCCGTCTCCCCCGTCCCCCACCCGTCCCCCTTCACTTACCTACGGGGTTTTCCCTTTTTTTTCCAGCCATGGAAAACTTTTTAACGCTCTGGGGAGCTAAATGTTCGAAGGGGGGGTTAGGGGGGTGGTTGGATCTCTGCTACCGGTAAATGGTGCCGTTTACTACCTCATCGTGTATGCCGCTGTCTGTCGCACATTTCATTTTTGCTACGACTCGAAACGAGTGAAATTAAAATGCTTGTTTTCACTTTATGCAAATTCTTACTTGAAAAACGTTAAAACGTAAAAACGTAAAAAATAAAGAATCAAATGAAAAGCGAGGGCAGCACACAGCAGCAAAGCACAGCGAGCCTGGGGTAAGGCGTCGACCAGGGGTATACCCTGTAATTCTCTTAGAGATTCTCTTAGAGAGAATTTTGCTCAATCAATCACTTGATTAAAAATGTGTAAAAAATGTTTTTAATTTGTATCTAATTTTTAATTTGAAATTTTATTTAGTTTTAGTTTCAATTTAATTCGTAACTTTAAATTAATTTTAATTAAATATTGGCTACGGAATATAAAAGAAATTTTTAATTGTAATAAAATTTTTAATTTGAATATTTATTAAATTTTATTTGAATTTTGAATTTTAGTTCAATATTTTTTTATATTGCATTTTTAATTTTTTAATTTAATTTAATTTTGAATAATTTATAGATTATTTTGTAATTTTAAAGAAATAGGAAAGAATCCATAAAACGGTGACAAGCCATAAAGTTCCAACTTTTCCCAAAATACTCAAAATATTAGCCCTACTTTTAGGAAAATTAATTATGATCCGTCCAAGGAAAATCTTCCCTGAATATCAAACCGCATTTATCATAAAATTCTTATACTAATTTTGTCAATTTATTCGAAATGAGTCGGAATATGGTCTATCGAAGCACTCGAGCATCGTCAGAAAGGTACTGCTAAGCCACTTTGGAAGAGAGAGCGGCAGAGACCAAGCGATGTAGAGAAAGAGACAGCATAGTGGGCTGGAGAGAGAGACGAACAGTCCTGAAACTTCTGTGAAAAAGAGATAAAGATATCCCGCGTGGACAGCCTTTGTTTCCTTTTTTCTTTCTTCTATTGTCTCTAGCCTTAATAATCGTTAAAAACCCGTTGTTCAAAGATCCAAAAGCAAGGTTATTCGCAAACATATTCGCTTCCACATCGCCGCCTGGAATACTGGGTACACGACCGGCTGAGTGCCCGAATATATATTAAAAAAAAAACAAACAAAAATACAAAAAAAAAGCAACGTCAAGCAAATAAAAATGGCGCGTATTTACGTTTGGGAATATGTAAATAAGCGTCCGTTGTATTTATTTTCTTTAGCTTTACGTGGCGTCCCAGCGAAAAGGGGAGTCTTGGGGGGGAGGAAGGGGAAGAAGGTGTTTGGCTGTTGCTCAGCTTTCGGTTGTCCTCCGTTCGGCGTTCGCCGTTCGGCGTTCGGTTAAGGGGGAAGTTTTTTGGTCACTCGCGGGGCTTACAAGCTATTAAAATGTCGCTGCAAGTACTTAACTGCTTGATGTTGTCAATTTAAATTAAAACCACTGCCGCAAAAGTTACGGGGCGCCCAGATGGAAGACAGACTTATAGACAGGGCCGCATGCCGCATGCCTCATGCCCCCATAGAGGTAGGGCCCCCCGCAGAAGAGTTTGGGGCCAAATGGATATTGCGGAACAGAAGAGCATGCGTGGATTAACAGGGGAAAAGCCCAAGGAAAAGTAAGGGAAAGGGCAACAAAACTTTTCTTTATGACTGCACTCGGAAGGTCTCTCTCTCTGTATGCTAATGGACGAGATGGTAGGCCAAGGTCTGCGTCTGCGTCTGGGTCTCCGTCTGGCCCCTGAGATGGGCAAACTGGGAAATTAAAAAGTTGTCGGCTAAGGATCTGCCAAATGTCTTGTCATTAAGGAAAGTGGCTTATTACAAGGATATACTCACTTCCCCTTCCCTTCCCTTCGCACAATGCCCAGGACCTGGGCGGGAAGTGTCTAACACTTGCAATAATTGCTTCCAAAAAGTTTAGCCCTTATTTTAGTCCCTTATTTTATTAATTGAAAGTTTTTTTCGCTTTGCGTAAAACGATATAATTTTCCTTCTTCGTTTATTGCTAGCATTAAAAATATTATTGTTATTTTTATGCTTAGAATTTTTCAATGTTTTTGGTGGTGTTTTCCGGTTTCAGATAATCTTGAAAAAGGGAAAAATTGGTGCTACCGTTTTCCCAGAACGTAATATTTTCCTACTTTTTATGCAATAAAACGAGTGTTAATTGCAAAAGGAAAAAAAATAGATGATTTATTGATGCAGTGACATAAAATTGAAACTATTTCCAAAGCGTTTTAGCCTTCGGCATTTTTATAAATATTTTCTATTTAACCCAACCTCAAATTTTACTTTGAAATAATTGCTCACCACGCAGCAACACTTTTCGTTTTCGTGCTAACAGCTGAGGCAGCCCGCTTTGGCTATCCTTAAGTCGGATGTTACACATAACAGAGTATTCTGTGCGCTTAACAGCACTAAATATTGTGTTTAACAGGACATATGGAAATGTAGTAAAAACTTGCGAAAACGAAAGCACCCAAAGACGAAAACGTAACTTTTTGGGTGAAAACGCAAAAGTAAGTCACAATCGAAGCCTGTCTGAATATAATTATAGAATTTGGTAATAAATCATAGACACAGAAAAGCAATAGAAGCTTCTATAGAACCTTCGAGTAGTCCTTGGGATTGCACAGCACGATAATACCCAATAATCAGCTGGCTTCTTTGCGGAATCAAATCATATCACATATATCCAGAAGTTCTAATCCCAAGGCACTTCTTTTTCTTAGCTTCCACAACATGTAGAACTCCAATTAAATGGCAAACATATCCAAGCCGATAAAAACTATGGCTTATCAGGCAATAAGACTCAAAATTTAAGGTGAAAATTGAGCAAAAAATAAAGCCTTTCGTGTTGATCTCGGGGCTGCCTGGGTCTGGGCCTCCAGCCAACTTATGACAAAGCGTTTAAACGGAGGATCCTGGAGGGCTGTCGGCAAGTGTGTCCCTGTCTGTCCTTTCCCCAACCCTCTCCCGCTCTCTGTGTGTCGTAATAAGCGAATCGGCTCAAGGCATTTTAGTGCTCAAACAAAAGACAAGGCAGCAAACACACCTCCACCCCCCACCTCCCCAGTAAACGCATAAAAGCAGAGCCCAGAACGTGCTCTGATTTTGTAAATAATTGCAATGACGATGCCAGGATCCACATTCACATTCGCATCCCCATCGACAGTCGACAGTCGACTGAAACAAGCCCCCTGGAGCGGCGACTGGAGCCCACGAGCCCAGTGCATGATAATATTAATAATA